AAAGCTAATCCTTGGGCACTCGGCTCAACACGGCTCTTATACACATCTAGATGTGTATAAGAGACAGGCGCGGGAACGGTCGGGCCCGTGCGCCGCACGTCGGGAAACTCGCGCACGACGTGCGCTTGCAAGTATGCTATAAACTCATAGTGCCCATATCTAGTCCGGAACGAAGTCTTGTACTGGTCATCAGGATGGACTTCTATCTGATGGTAACCGGACTTTAGATCTATCTTAGAGAAATACTTACAACCCTGCACCCGATCTAGTAGATCGTCTATCCTGGGCAGTGGTTCGGCATTCTTCACAGTAATCGCATTCAAACCCCTACAGTCTATACACATTCGAAGCTCTCCTTCCTTCTTGGGGACAAACAGGACTGGTGCTCCAAAAGGAGACGAACTGGGCCTGATCCAATCTTTCTCGAGGAGCTCGTCTAACTGCTTGCGTAGCTCCTCCAACTCCCTAGGGGACATCATGTAGACTGCTCCCTTAAGAGTCCTACTGCCAGACCTTATCTCTATCCTGTGTTGGATGGGTCGCGGCACTACTCCTGTCGGCGACTCAGTCAAGTCTTTAAGCTCCTCCAGCAGCTTGGCAATGGTTGGATCTGTGGAACTTACCTCTTCCTTAGCCTCAGCGACAGGTCTAACATAAACTACAAAGACCTGGTCCTCTAATTGCTCCTTTTTCAATAGTCGCACGAACGCGGGAGCACTTAGACAGCAGTGTGCCAGAGTGTTATCTACACCTGACACATGAAACAAGCGGGCAATCTCAACCTCGCCTGACAGACTAGGGAGCCTACACTCATGCTCTCTCAAGTGGAGTGTGGCCCCTGCTGCCTCTCCCCAATCCATTCCTAACACCATGTCGAAAGGAAGGTCATCCTGAACGAGGAGAATCAGGGAATGGAGGATTTTCTCCACCTTCCCATCTTTCTCTAGGCGGAAGTACGCCTGGACTCCCTCTACGTAGTCCTCAACGCGCATAGTGCGGTTGTTTGCGAGGACACTGACTATGGGGTCTGCTAACTTTTGGACTTTTAATCCTAACTTCAGTCTTTTCAGTGCCCTACGGCTAATATAGCTACGGGTGGCCCCTGAGTCTATAACGGCCCCTACTCTGCTTCTAAACACTTCTACATCTACCAAGATCAGTTGTCCAGACTATAGCCACATTTGCTGTTGATTGGGACTGACTCTCTGCTGCGGGTGGCATCCGCTTTCTTGTCGGTGAGACTATAGCCACATTTGTTGTTGATTGGTACTAGCGCTCCGTTGCGGGCCGTATCTGCTTTCCTGTCAGTGAGACTATAGCCACATTCGCTGTTGATTGGTATTGGCGCTCCGTTGCGGGCGGTATCTGCTTCCCTGCTGGTGAGACTATAGCCACATTCGTTGTTGGTTGGTTCTGGCTCTCTGCTGTGAACGGGGACCTCTATCCCGCTGTAACCACATTCGGGGAGAACCGTTATATTCGGCACTTGGGGAAAATAGCCTCCCTCCTAACGTGGGGAACAACCATGTTTGCAGACCTGTGGAGTAATGGAAGTCTCCAAAGTTGACTTGCGTTAATTATATATTTCATTTTTAAACAGGTGAACAGGGTTGATGTGCTGCCGCACGGAGTTCACTCCGGTCCGAAGTGACAGACACAACAAGATTGAGGGGTGATCTCTCTCGTACTGGTACTTGAATTAATGCGCATTCGGACACCCTCCCCCCCAAATTGTCAAGCTTCAAGAGTGGTGAAACATCATACCATGAATAAGTACGATCCCGTGAAGGGGAGTTGCGCATCTACTGGAATTACTTCTCTCTGCAGCCTAAATATTGGAATCAGCGTAGAGGAGGGCTGAGAGGATTGAGATTGAGGTTCTGAATCAGCCCTAAGCGAAGGCCGAGGGGATCAGGTGTCTTACGGGAACTGTCATTGGTATCTCGGAGCAGCCAGTAAAGCCTTAGTGTCTCCAGCTGAGAGATGAAACCGACAATAATGCTAGCCTGATCAATGGACATATTGTATGGACTTGACATAAGGAAATCTTGTGTCGCCTTATTGTTCTCAGAGAATTGAAAAGAGAATCTGGCGAATTACTGGGTCGCCTTATCGTCCCTAAACTCTACAGAGAATAATTAAAAAGGGATTTACGGTTTCAAATAAGGAATTGCGTTTGGGTCACGATATTATAACTTCGGGTTTTATACTTCTTTATCCGCTTTGTAGTCTGCGGTGAAGGGAACACTCGTTCGGGGTAAAAGAGTGGCGTGACAGACTACTCCAACCCAGACACCCTATCGGTCGTCGAGGACCTCGGAAGCGGGAGCGGCGAGTGACAGGCGTCGTTGCCCTTGGCTTCGACGAACGATAGGCGACCCCTCCCCGGGTTTCCTCACACAGGTCCTAAGTTCCCTCTCAAAGATATCCCAAACAAAGGAGGGTTGAGAATACCTCGACGCCGCCCAATGTCTACAAGCGGTAGGTGCAATGGAGTGGATCAACTCTATGAGCTGAATTCTCTCGTCCCCCCCAGCGTAATCCCACATCACAGAGAGTAGTAAGCGTAATCTGTGTCTAGGTCTCCTCGAAAAAAAATGCTCAATTCCTCGAGAGTAAGGTAGGACTCAACTAGTCTTCCAACCCCTCCAAACTGCTCGAATAATTGTTCTTAGCTTGCGATAAGAATGTGGGACGTACCTACCCCCGACGAACAAAAGATCTCTTGTGATAGTCCTTGGAGGAAATTGGCTAGGTCATCTACAATGCGCTCCCTCCTCCTCTCGCCTAAAGGCTTCGACTCCGTCCTGAAGATACCGCTCTGCCCAATCCATAAGCCTCCAAGAGTGTCATGTCGCGAAGGCAAGGGCAACCTTTTTGGCTATGTCCAAGCTCAAGTAGATGAACCCCTTTACGTCAACCCAGCCAGTCCCTGGAACAATCCTGCCTCTATAGTCGTGTTTGCTTCTTAGGTCACGAAATATCCACAACCAAATGTCCGACCATATAAGTATTGACCTCCAGCCATAACGGTTGTCCTCTCCTGGAGTAGGGCGGGTTGGCAGGGTGAACTCCACCAAGTTTCCTTTTATAAACTCGGGAGGCTCATGGGATCACTCGATTGAGACCCGGTACTCTTCGACCGACATTGATAGCCACATCCGAGCTAGCTAGAATCTACTCCAACTAATACCTTTTCCTTTTTCAGCCCTACTTGACAAAGAGTGACAAAGAGAAGTAAAAGTGTGGACAAAACTCACCTCAAGAATTAAAAAAAAAATTGACAGCATCTACCCACCCCACTCAGGGTTGGGATCATACAATGGGTATACCAGAATAAAGTAATGTACTAACTAACACCTCTAATTAACGTCAAATACCCCTCCACAAAGACTGGAGGATAACCCTAGCCCATCATCCTTACGCCGTAGACGTGGTTGCTCCTCAACGCTTGGGCCTCTGGTGAGAGTCTCCCCAACCACAGGGCACTCCCTCCGAGCTAGGCGTGAGGTACTCAGAATAGAGGCGTCAAGGCGGTCTAATTAAGGGGTTGATCTCCTAGCGCAGGCCGACCTAGCCGGTGCGGTTCGAAGTCAGGCCGAAGCCTCACAAACCACTCTTAGTCGGGTGACATGCTACTACAAATCCTACTACTCGAGACATATGGGCGCAAAAAACTGAAGTATGACAAATTGATTCATATAGAACCCATGTGCTCTATTCGAAAAATGTTCAAATAGAAGGCATATGTTCTATTTGCATTTAGACCTGTGTTTTATTCGAATACTCCACCCTGTGTTATATTCGAATAGAACACTATGTGATACCATGTATAGGTGTACTGTGTAAAGATCACTGTACAACATCTTCTGTTATACTCAATTGAACACCCCTGCGTTATATATTCTTGGGCTTGTAGGTGTGCTGCGCATAAATCATTGTACAACATTATGTCCCTATGTACCCATCGGTGTGTTTGCGCACATGTACATGTGCAATGTATGATGGTGTTGTGTCAGTTGGTGCATTTTCGTTGGCGATCGATCTGTTGTTTGAGCATTACAACTTCAAATCTCCAATAACACTCATGGCCAATGTATTACTTGATCTCACAGGTGCTTGACAGCGTAAAGAGAGAGAGAGAGAGAGAGAGAGAGAGAGAGAGAGAGAGAGAGAGAGAGAGAGAGAGAGAGGGAGGGGAGGAAATTTTTGTGGCCCCCTTTTTCTCCTCTTCCACTGAAATGATTTCCCGGCATGTGTCCCAGTCCTGGTCCCAAAATCTTGGGTCCCAGTCCTAAGTCTCAGGTCTGAGTCGCGAGTCCTGGGTCCTAATCCCAAGTCCCACTCCGTGTTCCATTAGTGGTTCCAGCCACTTGTAAAATGTTGATGAATACTCTAGAAGAGTAGTTTGCATTTGTACCATGATTGCAGAGGCCTGGGCAGGCTTGTTCAGTTGGTAGATAACAATTATGGGTTGAGGAGTCTGTCTTTAGAAGGCATCACAAGGATCACTAGAGCCATTAGGCTGAGGGAGCAAGCCAAGGGGGATGATAAAAGTGAGATTTAAGGAGCAAATAGGGCTGCTTACCAAGGCCGCCTTCCAAGCTGGAAAGGAGTTTGTTGCACGGTGCCAATCTGTAGAGAAGCTTGCTGCTAATCAGGACGAATTCAAGGTAAGTGGAACAATCCCGACATGACCACTCACTGCAAGGAGTACAGGCGGCAATGGACCCCCTGATAATGATGATGGTGGTGATGATGATAAAAAGGGAGGAGATCGCAAGGGGAAAGGAAAGGGAAAGGAGAAGAAGAGTGAGGATGACAAGGAGGCCAGTGACAAGATCAAAATGAAAATGCCCTCGACCTATAATGGAAAGAAAGAGGAAAAATTATTGCAATGGGATGCGGCCATCAAAGGTATGTCTATGGCGATCAGAAGGTGGTGATGTTTGGGCAGGTGAAACTATTTGTATCATGCTTGGGAGGAGAGGCAGCTGGCTTTCGCGAGTTTGTTGGTGGGGCAGGCTGGATGTGGGAGGGACGTAGTACAATACTCTCACATGACCCCCCTGACTATTTCCCATAAGCATTATACCTGGGTTGCACGACGTACACGTGCGCGCGGTCCGCGAACGTGCATACGTGTATGCACGTACGCACGTACACAAAAATGGGGCCCGCGTACGTGGTCGTCGCGGGCCATTTGTGGGCCCATTTTTGGCCAAGGGGGGGCGGGTTCTAGGTCGTCGCAGGGGGAGGGCCTGTGGGAGTGACTGGAGGAAGGGGTTCGGTCGGGGTATGCGCCGTCCGCCCGCGATTTCGGAGTTCGGGGTTCTGGGTCGTCGCGGGGAAGATGTCCGGTTGGGGCCCTCGTGGTGCAGGCCAACCACAAAGGTAAGTACTCTCACCAACCCCAAGTCAACTCGGCAGACAATAGTTCATAGTCTCTCAATGCTTTGACCCTTTATACCCTGCTTACATAAGGAGTAAAGTCAGGTCATCTTATCTTATGGAACATGCTCGACTCAGCCATTTAGTATACACGAACGAGTTGCTCAACTACTTATCTCTTCCTTTGGGCACATGACTAAGCCATTCATCTTAAAAACAATGCTTAGTCGCCATGAATTGTTTAATACCCAAGTTATATATACCTTTCTGAACTTAGTGTTCAAAAGCTGAGCGTAGGACTGAGTCATTCATCTTAGAAACAAAACTCTGTCTGCCCAAAGTTACCCTCAGTTATATTTTTAATTATACTCTCTTCAAATTTATGATAAGTTATAGTCAGACCACCCAATCTTATGGGATCCTGTCTGACCAACCTGTTTTTAAGTAGAATAGTATTAAGATAAAACCAAATTATAACCTTTGGGTTCCAGCATGTGCGAGGCTTTGGGTCAGATCATCAAATCTTATGGAACATGTCTGGTCCTCTGTCAGGTTCATTCTTCTCTGGTTCAGTTGTGCGTGGCATGAGTCCAAGGTCATCCAATCTTATGGAACATGCCTCGCCCCCAGCCAAAATCACTCCCTCAGAACAAAAGCAGGAAGAGGCTAAGTCATCCAATCT